AACTTCATCAATGCATGATGCTCGAACTAGTTAGCTTCTTTTGTTCATTATGTTCCTTCTTTGACTGTTTCTCTATAACTTTCATGCGAGTGAAAATATGCCCAGAGGAGACGAACTCTCAGATTTAGTTTGCTATCCCCCATCCCCATCCCAAATGAAGAGTTATTTGTTTATGGTTTAGCACTATAACATTCCACGAACTACTTATATGTGTTTTAACTTTTGTGTGCATTGTCTATCCTCACTGAATTTGTGCATTACAGTTTGTTCATATTTCCATTGTATTCATGTGTATGTTTCGTCTTGAAGCAAAATGGTTCTGGAGATTCTATTGTTTCTTGATTTCTAGTAGTAAAAATGGTATATATCTGTAGCACTTGTAGAATTTACTTATCTAACTGCTAGTATTGCGTGTAGAGTACATGCCTGGAGGGAGCCTCTATGAATATTTGCACAAGAATCATGTCATCTTGAAGCTCTCACAATTGCTGAAGTTTGCAATCGATGTGTGCAAAGGCATGGAGTACCTGCATCGAAAGAACATCATTCACAGAGATTTAAAGACTGCAAATTTGCTTATGGATGCTGACTGTGTAAGTTCGTGGAGATATTAGATTGTTATGTCGGGACCTGTAGTCTAGATTGCCTATTGATGTTAGGATAAAAGAAATTTTCAACGACTTCACGTCTCTTTTCTCATTGTTGGAGTATGATTGGACAAAAGAAAGTTTCCATGACTTCATTTTTCACTGCATATGGTGGTTGTGTGGCTTATCATTGTAAGTCATGAATGAAACCCTTAATTTGGAATTGTGCATGATGGATTGAAAATGCAGCTTGATTTCAATTTTACCAATGAATTTGTAAAAAACTATGATATATGTTATTGTGAGGATGACTATGTAAGATGTTTAGTCATTTCATTACTCTGTTCTGGTAGACGTATTTAAGTTCATCCGCAGCTATTACTTGTAGTAAATTAATTCCTTGATTTTTACGTCAACATTGATCAAATCTCTCCTCTCTAACAAAATGCACAAAAATGATCATTAGCTTACGCAGGAAATGTAAGGACTGAGATTTGTACTCGAAATGTGAGGACGAGAAAATAGGCCTGCTCTGTTGAGCTTTCAGATTTGTTGAACATGCTGGCCATTAAAATACATGCACATGTCCCCACATGCTCTGTTATATTAGATACAAATGATTTATATAATTCAAACAAGTGAAAGAAAGTGAGACCTCAAGGTCCATGCATCAATACGCTCCAATCTTTGTCAATTGCATGAAGTATTTAAAAGATTCTACTTTGTATCTAGAAAATCGGTTGTTATGTTTCTAATACATACTTCTTGTATAATATGTTTGTTTGAAATAGTTTCTTTTTAATTGTTTTTTCTTGATCAACATTTGTTTAATTCTATGTTTGTGTGTAATAAGGTCCTTTTTAATTACTTGGTCTTGTTTAGAGTTCATTGTAACTCAATGTAACTGTACTCATATACGTGAATATACTTGTAGGTTGTTAAAGTGGCTGATTTTGGTGTGGCTCGATTCCAGAATAATGGTGGGGTTATGACTGCAGAGACAGGAACGTATAGATGGATGGCACCTGAGGTTTGACTTTTGATCAGCTATTGAAAATATTCAAGTCTTTATGTCTAACAATCTTTCTTGGGATATGGTGGCATTTGCTTACACTTCAACATCCCAAGTTAGCTCTCCCATCACATTCCAAAATAGTTTTTGACATAGGAATCATTATGAAGATGTTGTTCAATTAATGAAGTATAACAATGTTTGGACGTGAAAAGGGTGACATCATTTGTGTTTTGATGATCATGGAAGTTGAGCAATAAATTATTTAACATTGAGATAGATGATTGCTAGAAAGTGCACACTCTTGAGAAGCTTTTATGTCAATGTTGTAATCGGGCATTTACCCTTTTTGACGCTCATGTATGGGTTTGAACTATATTGAACATTTCCGAAAATGAAATACGAAAGTCATAATTTTAGATGGGTCAGGCACTTTTTAACACTCTCATACAAGTGCCTGAACATTGGTATTGATAATCAAATGGCACGCATTCGTATTCCTGAGCGCTGATTTTATTCTGTCAACCCTAAGCACTATGCAACCTTATCTATGAGTTGGTTTCTAAATTCACGATTTTGTGGTTTGGAAGCATTTATTGCTAGCATAATGATAATGGCATTCCCTAAGGACTTAATAAATTAATTTTATTAATTACTTAATTATATCTTTTTTTGTCTTTTGCAATTTCTTTGCTACAGGTGATAAATCATGAACCGTATGATCAAAAAGCAGATGTGTTCAGTTTCGCTATAGTTCTTTGGGAGCTTGTGACCGCGAAGGTGTTTCTTAAATTTATATCTTGTAATAAATTTTAATTAAAACTTTGAGAGTGATAAAGGTCATGTTGTATTCATGACGAACTTTTCATCTTTTGTTGGGCTGCAGGTTCCTTACCACACCATGACACCTATACAGGCTGCACTGGGAGTCAGGCAGGTTTGTGACCTCCTTTTCGCAAAAAATGTTCTGTCCATGATGGCTGTCATTTGACATAACTAGGCTAACTGAGCGAAGTACCACGTCCCATATTTATGTGCTTATGTTAATGTTTAATATGATGCAATTTAGGTGAAAGGGTGTCCCTCCGTTCACCTGTAATAAAACTATCCTGGAACTGTGTAAGCCATGTATTAGCCTTATGGAGGCATCAAAGTGAATGAATCCAAGGTTGTTTTCATGATCTTAAATAGACAATCAGTATACAAAAGCTTGCGTTCCTTTATTGTTCAATATTGTATTCTGATAAGAACTGGAAACCATCTGAGTCTGAGTTGCTTAGTAATGTTGTAGTGCCAGTTCAATGTGGGTGGTGATAATTAGTGCTTGTTTGGTATTGTTTGCTAGAAAGTTGGTCAATCTTTATTTTTAACCACATATTTCAACTTTTGTCCACCTTTTCACCGCACATTTTATGGGACCCACCAGCTTTTATCAACTTTTAGCAACATCGCGCAGTCCCTTAATCTTTTGAGTAGACCTTAGAGCAATCAGATTGGCATTAGGTAGCTAACAGATATACGAGGGATCAACTGCAGGCTAATGTTGATACATTTATGTTCATATAGCTTTTTAATGTTTTTTGATTTACATATAAGTGAAAGTAATTTGTGCAATCCTATGTGAAGATGCCTCTTAATCTCGTATATATGAATTCCACTGTGACATGATTTCTCTAATATTGAACAGTTGTATAATTGCAAAGAAATCTTGCAGGGCAATGCACACTGATATGTGGTTTCATAGCGAAACATTTTATGAAATAATGATTGACTTGTTTGTGTTCCGAACATGTTGATGATTAAGAAATGGGTAAATACAGATATACAATGTTGCTATTTTGTAACGGTCAATAGCAAAGTCAAATAGCAAGTACTTAGAGCATAATGCTATCTTCTACTGTTGAAGAAAATTTATACGCCTTTTTTACTTGTTTATTTTTGGTGTTTCTTTTCCTCTTTGTTTCTTTCTCTTGAGAGGGTGTCCTGTTCTACCTGGTTTTAATGTAAGAACTGGGGGAACGATTAGCAGAGTTGGAAAAACAGCAAATAGGGAATCAGATTGAACATATGATATATATTCAACAGTTACATTTATTGACAAGCTTCTTGATTTGTATGTGCGTCATCTGCTAGGGTCTTCGACCAGAACTTCCCAAAAATGGTCATCCAAAGCTTTTAGACTTGATGCAGAGATGTTGGGAAGCACTTCCTGATAATCGTCCGACCTTCACGGAAATTGAAGTTGAACTCGAGGAACTTCTACAGGAAATTCAGGTAGAAGTTGATTGTTACAGTTGTGGGTCATTGAATTTAAATGATTTTTACAATTTAGTCATTCCTTCCGTGCCCATTGGTATGGATCGAGTGATCAAATAGTAATTAAACTAAGTTCAATAATCAACATGAAATTTTGTAAAATGTTTAGCGACCACTAGTGAATTTAACCCTATGTGAACTCATGTATATACAGATACTGTTTAAATTTGACAAATTTCCAACTGCAACTCATTTTTGTGTTCTTTTCACAGGATACTCCGGTTTCACCTAATGGCGTCTGAATATATAATGAATATTCAACATTTTACCTACACATCGGCACATTTTGATAGTAGCTTGTCAGAGATTTTAGTCGTCCTCATATTAGATAAGACGGTGCAATACTCCTACTAGGAAGGACAGTATGTTTGTTTTGCGGTACAATAGTTTTGTTCTTTTTTCACGAGGAAGTTAGCAACACCAACTTATAACTGTAGATGAATCAAAGAGGGCTTTTTATTTTTATTTTTATTTTTTTTGGGGGGTTCTTAGAAAATGATCAGTATGAAGGAAAATCTCGCTTCAATTCCCAGTAAGTTCAAGTTTTCAATAATTTCGAGCCAATAGAGGTGCGTTAATGTTACGAGTAGAATTTTTTGTCCAGTAAAATTGAATATATTAAACTAATTTATAAGAATTTTGACTACTAAGGATATTTTAAGATAAAATTCTAATTTTTATGTGGTATTAAAACTCATTAAGATACAACGACCAATTTAATTCATCTAACCTTAAATGAGCGCACTCATTTCAAAGTAAGCGTGTTCAAACGAACCATCAGAGACAAGTATTAGCTCTAATTTGACTTTCATTAAAATTATAATATATTTTTCTCTCCTTTTTAATTACATATTTTTCAATAAAAAAATATTATACGTACAAATTAGAGTGAGATGCATTAGTTCACATAACATTTCATTAAAATTCCAACAATTCTAGTGCAGCCTTCCATAAAAAGGGAGCTACATTAAGTTTTACGACTTATAATAATTATTAACTATCCATCCCTGTAACATAAGACACGATTTGCATCACGTGACATACAGTGCTTCATCCATATCTAATCCATCATACAGAGCACACATTCACCGCCTCCCACGAGGTCCAGGGGCAGACCTAGGACCTGGATGCTTCGAGAATTGCAGTCGCAAGTGAGTAGAATCTGGATCTTGTTCATCCATCTTATAACCTGTGCATGAACAAGAGAAGATTTTTTAGTGCACGAAGTTCTACAGAATGTATGAGCGGTCGATGGCTAATGGATTATTGATTCAAATTAGCAATAATGATCATTGTTTCTTTGCACTAAAGCTCCTCCAAACTTCCAAAACAAAGAGGAAAGACGATATCAGAGCCGAAACAAAAGAACCAAATAGTTTTCAACTTAAAAGGCATAGATAATTTTCTAATTTCTCTACCCTAAGTAATATCTAATGTTAATGCGTTGATTAAAGCAAGAAAAGCAGTAAGAAGTTGCAAGTTGCAGGATCAAAAAGATCTGAAGGGCCTTAAATATTCAGACATCTTAACTAAAGAGAGAAGCATAAATTGCATTAATACAAACAACTGAATAAGAGGAAAGCAATCACCTTGCAAAGCACTTAAAGCAGTTGCTGCACACGCAGGGTCTATGAAATCCACAAAACAAAGGACAAGAGGATCTCCACCACGCTGTGAAGAAAATCCTTGTCAAAACCTCACTTTTGGGCATATTTAAGTCAAGAAGATGGTAGCTAGGTGAATAAAAGTAGTGCTAAGTAGTAGTCTTAATAGTTAAATTCGGCGGAGCATAAATTGTAGAGTTATTGAAATCAACTTACATGCTTCGAATCCTTTCTTACAAGTCGTACTTCTCTGTACCCTACAAAGGGACGGAAAATATCTAGAGAAGATGTTAAAGAAGACAAAAATATTCCAAGGCGATACCAAACTAGTAGAAGAGTGTAACTATTGGGGAAAAAAAAAAAAACTTCTATTTGTTATAGCATCTCAAAGGATACGAGCCACTTCCCTTCTGGTGCTGTTAGGAGGAAGCCCCTCAATGTACAGCGTGCTGGAAGCATCTGGAGGTAGAGGGAGGGTTTCCCGAGGTCTGACAATTGTATCTACTGGAAGTGGATCACCAAATCCCATGCCACTTCCATTTGGTGTTGGTTTTGGACCACCACCCCCAGGACGCCCCGTTACAATGCGATCATGTACTGGAAGAGCAGGTACACCACCACCAGATCTTCCTAACCCCATTCCACTGTAGTGATTACTTTCTTCAGAAGGTAATTGCTGGAAGAGAAACAGGATTTACTTATTAGCACCTCGAAAGCCAAAGCTGTACAAAGCAAGGAGGTACTAGGATTACCAAATTCTGAAGATAATGATCATATGCTGAACCAATTGATTGTGTATCCTTCATTACTGGGGACCCACTATAATCATCATTCGGAACCAGCAAATTATAATGCATTTCACGACCGACAGGCACCCTAGATGGCGGGAGATCTACATTGGTTAACAAAACTGATTAGAGTAATGATATATAAAATTGACAATGAACTCAATGCAATCATCTAAAAAAAGAAACTTCCAGTACACTTTGTACCCCCATTTCCAAGTATGCCTCGCGGAAAACCATTTTCTATACAAATCAAATGTAAAAATTTGCACAAAGTTTAGGTTACTACACTAAATCTCAACAAGTTAAGATGGATTATCTAACTGATAAATCAACAGAGTCTTCTATAACTAAAATCAGAGACATTAAAGTGATAAGTAGTAAAAACTGAAATATCAAGTTAAGAGTTAACAGAGAAATCTTAGATGGAAAAGCGATCCCCATAAAGATGCAGATGGAAAAACAAAATTGTAAGGAGAATAAGATACAATCAAAATTCCAGAAGACCTACAAGGGGTTTAGATGCATTTAAAATCATAAGGTATCAACTTCAATAATAGATAAAATGAAAAATAGGGATATAGAGAACCAGTTTAAGATCAGCCATCGACCTAGATTACAACACAATAATAGGCCTTTGGTAGTAAACAAAAGACTGCAATGGTGATAGGAATGATGATTAAAACAAGTTTCCATTTCCAAAATCTCATTTAGATCCCCAAGAGTGTCCACAAAACTATAATTGTGTATTTAAGGTGTCTCAACATGACTCCATCAAGTCCCCATACCTCCAAAATTAGAAAATGACAGAAATATCGAGCATGAGTCCATTTCCCTAACATTCGAGAATGTCTCGAGTATACATATGAAAACTCTATCAAGTTGAGTGTCCCTGTGCTTCCTTGCTTATAACTAACATATTCATAGTTGAACTTTAGAGACAATTTTGTACGAGCAGAGGTGAATTCAATGCAGACAATCAGCAGATTAAGCCCCAACAAGAGTCTATGCTTCTCAAATCAAAGATTGCAATGTTAGTTCTCACGCAAAAGTTCATTTGCACTTTGACGGTAGATTTTGCATATTCAACATATTCTTATAATTTTGAGTTGCTTTAACTTCTATGGCTCTCCAATAAAAGAAAAGCACACTGGGGGTTGTAAAATAAGATGAATTGACAATTTACTTACCAGGAAAGTGTAAAAAGTTAACTATTTATGAAGAATAAGAGTACAATGAATACTAACGTGCAGTTAAAGACAAAAGAAAGTGTTGAGATGGCCAGCATCAAATTTAAGGAAAGGGAAGAATTGACAGTAAATAGAATAATGTTTAAAAAGCATAATTTCTCTAGAACTTCCTCCAACAATTTGGTCAAGCATTATCTAGAAACATGAAATGACATAATGATAACATTTTTGTGTATAAGGATTAAAAAATGACATGCAATTACTTTACAAAAACTATCAAGACATGCAATTACTCATGGTTTAATTTCATAATAATTGAATTTATATTTGGACAAAAATATATATTGAACCTGATTGCTTTTTTCAATCATTAGAACTGATCTTCAAAAGAAAATACATATTTTAAGCTTATATCCATCCGCCTGATAATTTCATACATATTAAGAACACTGTGAAAGCAAATGTCCTTCCTTTATAACACCTTGAAAAGAGGTGATTCACATCTAATTTTTCTTGAATTCCCATCAAATGAAAGGGCCATCAATATAAGATATCAAATGAAAGGGTCATCAATAAAAGAAAAGCACACTGGAGGTTGTAAAATAAGATCAATTGACAATTTACTTACTAGGAAAGTGTAAAAATTTAACTATTTATGAGAATAAGAGTACAATGAATACTAAGGTGCAGTTAAAGACAAAAGAAAGTGTTGAGATGGCCAGCACCAAATTTAAGGAAAGGGAAGAATTGACAGTAAATAGAATAATGTTTGAAAAGCATAATTTCTCTAGAACTTCCTCCAACAATTTGATCAAGCATTATCTAGAAACATGAAATGACATAATGATAACATTTTTATGTATAAGGATTAAAAAATGACATGCAATTACTTTACAAAAACTATCAAGACATGCGAGATGTTTCCAAAACTATCAAGACATGCAATTACTCATGGTTTAATTTCATAATAATTGAATTTATATTTGGACAAAAATATATATTGAACTTGATTGCTTTTTTCAATCATTAGCACTGATCTTCAAAAGAAAATACATATTTTAAGCTTATATCCATCCGCCTGATAATTTCATACATATTAAGAACAAAGTGAAAGCAAGTGTCCTTCCTTTATAACACCTTGAAAAGAGGTGATTCACGTCTAGTTTCTCTTGAATTCCCAACAAACGAAAGGGCCATCAATATAAGATATCACTTTTCATCAAAATCCCCATAAATAGAGCACTAAGCCCAAAATTTCGACAGATTTTCACAACTGTCACCAGCGAGAATTTGCCTGAGATGTAAAGATTCTTTTCCGACATTCAATTATTCCTAAGAGACTGCTATTCTCTGAGCAGGGAAGCTGAATAAACCTCTCTGACAGTGGAATTTGGAATTCAGTTATGGAAAATAATGGAAAACCCCATACATATGTAATGAATATATCTGATTGAGATGTTAAAAAGAGCAAGGCAAATTGAGAACAGTGAATAAATAAATTATCATAGTCTGAGAAGCTAGCATTATTATCTTCTGAAACAAACCAAGCTTCACATTCCTTAAAGTCACCAAGTTGAGAAAAATATTGGAAATTCAAAAATTTATTTCATATTTGTCTTTTGAAACTGTTTTTCAGGTAATTAAATACTAAAAAACAGATTAAAAGAACCTGAATCAGCAGAAAGACAGAAAGATCATAACAGTTCAAGTTTCAAAATTTTTATTTTCCCACTTGAAGTTTCTTGCTTATCTAGTCAATATTAATATGACATTCTGAAACACATGATGTTCTCTTGATTAGCTACAAGTATATTGCTGAAAAAATTTCTTGTTCCTTTATAGTTGTACTTATTGTACTTATGACAGTCAAAAGCATTAACACTTGGTTCTGTACTCAGTATCCACAAAGAGAAATAAATGTAATCAAATTAAACCAGAAAAGTAAGGAATACCTACTGGGCATCAGTATGTAAAAAATCAGTACCACTTATAAATTTCAATTTCAATGTTAAACCCCCAAGTAAAAGCTCATAAATAACATCAAAATAGTAAAACATCAATTTCATAGTTGCTCGTACTTTCACAAACGTAAAAATTACAATAAAGTAAAATTTTTAATTCGATTCACGAGTTGACTAATTGATTACCATATTCTGTGCGAGGTCGTTTCAGCGCACCCGCAGATTGTTGCAGAGGAACTTGCCGATTATTCCAGTAGTCGTCCTCCATTTCCACTAAAAATCACGGAAAAAATTGAAGAAAAACAATTTCAACTATATATGCACAGTGTATAAATCCAAAATCATAATCATGCAATATAAAAAACCTGGAGGAGCGATAGCGAGTGTTTTTGTGTAGAAACCCTAGATCCGGTGTTCCAAGTGTGGTGTCTCCGGGAGTAAATTTGGGGAAGATTTTGATTCTATTTTCTTGATCTGCTGTGCTTAAGGTGTAGACTATTTTGGTGAGGATGCGTACAGTAAATAATTGAACAAATTATTTTCTTTTCTTTTCTTTTCTTTTGTCCAAGTAATTGATTTTCTTGAAAATTTTAGTCATTGTCAGACATCTTTAATTTGTTTAAAAGGTCACTGATCTTTATAATTTTCTTAGATTGGTAATTACATTGGTATATGTTACGTCTCATCTTACGAGATCGACCATGTTACAATTAATTAATTAAAGACAAAACAATAAATCACACAAAATCCACATTTCACTTGACCTCTCTCCCCCACTTCTTAGAAGTGCATGGTTTGACAATTGGACAAGGTTGTTGGACACTTAGGGATGGTAACAAGATAGGTCGAGATCAGGACGGCCATGTAATCCTTCACTTTGTTGGGTACTTTTCTTTCCTTACCCTCTCACCTCTCCTCGGTTAAAGCGGATCGGTGTCTATCTTGTTTATTTTTATTATTATTTATTTGTATTTTTTAACAACAAAAATGAGACTCAATCCTTGAAATCTATGTGCTTAATGCGTATGAAGATTAATAAAATTTACGTCACAAAAATGCATGATATGCTTTGCACTAGATTAAGCATTTGTTATGCTGTTGAGATTGTTAGTCGATATTTGTTAGTCGATATCAATCTAATTCTGATAAGAGCACTAGACTACGGTGAAGTATACGCTTAAATATTTTAGGACAAGAATATATTATATACTCGTATATTCGAGTGTAGATCTCATTCCAATAGTATATACTGAATTCCGATTTTCAATGTGATAAAGACCTTAAAATGTCAACATTAGGATTTGCGCTTACTTTGGGAGGTGGTGTTATCGCTTGGAAAAGCATCAAGTGGTCTCGTATTACTGATTCCACTATGGAAGCAGAATATGTGGCAACTTGTAAAGTAGTCGAGGAGACTATACAGGTCAAGAAGTTCCTTGTGGATCTAGGAGTGGTTAATTTCCTCAATCCATGACAATGTATTGTGATAATAGTGGATTGTAACGAATGTGAACCAAGAAGTCATCAACGTGAAAAGCTCATTAAGCAGAAAGTATCATCTTGTCAAAGAGATTATTCAATACGGGAACGTGACGATGTTCACGATTTGTATCTACAAAAAATCTCGTGGACCAATTCACCAAGAGCCCACCGGTTAAGAGTTTCGAAAATCATTTTAAGAGAATTGAAATACTTAACTTGTCTCATAGGGCAAGTGGGAGGATTGTTGAGTTATGTGTCCAAAGGTATTATTCGACATTATGTTTTGAACAAATAAATATTAATTTATATTATTCGTATAGTTTTATAATTGCATTTAATATTTGAAAAATTAATAAAACGTATCTTGTTCACATATATTAATATAATTAAGTCGAGTATTTAAGTTCTTTAGTACATATTGATTCAATTTACAAAGTAATAAAAAATAATTATTTGCGATCAGTAATGAAATCAGACACTTTATTTTGATAATGTCGTATTATCTATATTAACATTTATCTATACTTTTAATAATAAAGACAATAATAATAAATATTATTGGACAGGACCAAGTAACATTTAATACTGTAATAACCTACATAATTAAGGTTAGACAATCAAACAATCGTCTAAATACTGACAAATTATGAACTTTAATGATTAATTCAAGTTCTTTGAGATAACAAAGAGTGCGATTAATTATATAATAAATACCTCGTTACTTTGAGAATTAGGATAAATTAATTCTGAAATATATGAACTGCTGAACCTGAGGTAAGTAAACTATGATTTTTGATTCATTGAGATCAATTCAGATTTGGTGACATTTAGTTTGATAAGTGCTGAACCTGGGAAAAAAAAAGGAACAATCTCAGAGGCTCATTCGATATCTTTGCACAATTTCTCATTCTCTCTCTTGGCTACATTTTTTTTCATCTGTAAATGAAAGTGATTCTTAGCAAGTTATAGAGAGAAAATAATGTACTGCTTGTAGGGCTAGCCTTCGGTTATTTTGATCGAGGTGTGATTTATATTTTCAGTCAAGTTGTTCGTCTTTGTGAAGAACAATCCTTTTTTTTTTTAAATTCTTGATCGATTTTTATATAAACTTTGTAATAGCTTTTGATCGATTGGATACTAGTGCATCTAAAGGAAGAAGTAGCCAAAGATTGGGCGAGACTTTCAGGCGAATAATTGATGCGTTCATTAATTCTCAATTTCTTTATCTCCACATTTCTCATTTAATTTGGTATAATCTTGAAATAAAAACGTAGAATAATTTGCTATTTATACAAGAGGTACCTTTTCAAACCATTGCCTTCAAAGAAATAGGAATTGGCTAAAGATTGGAGACATACTTTCCTGAATGCAAGATTCATGCAAAAGTTTCATCAATCTTTCGACAGAGATCCCTGAAGAAAGAGATAAGTAAACTGTTTGATCCCTTGCAAGCAAAGGATTTGGGAAAGTACAATGACACGGGATGAGCTCCTTATCGCTTACTCCATTGATAGTAAATGACTTTTCTTAGACACATGAATGACTTTTCCCCCTGACTTTCCGTAAAGCCCTTAGACATGCATCAACATACTATGAAAATGTACAAAGACTTGGGATGAGCTCCTTATGGCTTACTCCATTGATAGTAAATGACCTTTCTTAGACACGTGACTAACTCTTCTTCCTGACTCTCCGTAAAGCCCTTTAGACGTGCATCAACATACTATGGAAATGTACAAAGACTTGGGATGAGCTCCTTGTCGCTTACTCCATTGATAGTAAATGACCTTTCTTAGACACGACTCACCCTTCCTCCCGACTTTCCGTAAAGCCCTTAGACGTGCATCAACATACTATGAAAATGTAAAATAAATTTCACTCGACAATCAACGTACCAACATATATGGTTAATTCATCAATTAATAATTGACTAATATTCTAAACTCAAAGCAATATTGAACCCCACTCCACAAATTAAAAAATAAAAATTCATGGGTATAAAAATACATATTTGTATATATACTCTCTTTGTATTAGTTTTCTTTTCTAAATAAAATATCATAAAATTGCCGAAGCTAACTACTCTTGGTTATATAATAATTAATTCTCATCAAAGTACCAATAAGTTACATGAATAACACTTATCCATGCATACATGCTTAAATCTTCAAGGCAGTCCTTGAGTGCCCTGCAAACCAATATCATTGTGTCTCTTCGAAGGACCCGATGGCGGTATAGGCATTCCCTTCGGCAAAAACCCGGAAAACATGTTTGGAGAATTTCGAGTTTTAGGTTTAATGTGTAGAAATTGTGAATGTCTTGCATCAGAAGAATGCTCAATCATAAAAATGAATAAAAAGCATAGAAATATAGGTATTATAAGAGGTTTTTTAGCCATCCCAGAAGGCTAACAAGGTTATAGAGAAGAGCGAAAATTGAAGATGACAATGCAGGCAGAAAGATTTAGATAGAGTAAAGGGCAGGGTGCCAAGGTTTGAAATTGGAGGTTATGTTTTGCAGTTGAAAAACTGTGTTTGGAATTAGTTGGTGCAGGGTTTTGTTCGTTGAGGTCGGTGAATAAATGCAGGACTAGTGTCCAAGAGACATATTAATTTGGGTAACTTGTGTCTGACGAAGATGTAGGGGTAGGAGTTGGAGGAGGAAACACTACTCATTAAATGCAGGATCTTGTATTATTATTATTTTTTAAACAGTTTATAGGTATTTGGATTTCAACAATTTGATGATCCAAATTCGAGTGGGATACAATCCTATAATAAAGTTCTTAAAAGTTTGTTTGACATGACTTTTTTGTATTTACGATATGTAGAAGTAAGGGAATCAACGAGAGTCGAGTCGATACTTTTTGCTCGGGCTCGGCTCGAGTAAAAATACTTTGAGTTTTTTTGGCCCAAGTTGAGTCTTTGCTCGGCCAAAAAATTTAGGCTTTTTTAGAGAATTTAAAATCTGTGCAATTTATACGTATTATAAATAATAACTAAATATTAATATATAAAAAAATTATAGCTAAAAAAATGACAGTAATTTTTTTTCTTTAGGCTCACAAGCCAGCCCTGCTCGGCTCTAGTTGACGCCCCAAAATGGGGCTCGGCTCAGCCCCACCCAGCCACGAGCCGGCTTGGCTCAGGCTTTTTCCGGGCCGAGCCCGAGCCGACGAGCTATTTTGTGATCCCTATGTAAAAGAGTTTTATAGTAAATTACTTTAAATTCTGTATGGAAATTAATTTCTAAAAATGTTTCATATTCCAAAAATATTTTTAGAGAACCACATTCGTCTAATGTTCTTTAGAAATCCTTCTAACAAGAAGATGCATTTTTATAAAATTAGTTAAAGGAGTTAAAAACAACATTTGGGTCTCAAAAGCTCGTTTTGACTTCTCAAGAAGTCATGTCGAGCAATCACTTAACAAAAAAAAAAAAAGTGATCGAGCGATGACAACCAAAAGAAGGACTTGGAAGCAGCCATCCTTCGAAGAAAGTGCAACAACTCATCACTAATCTAACTCCATGGCACCGAAAATGTATCAAGGCTTGTGTTCTTGTTTTCTCGTGAAGAAAGACCAAAAGGGCTTGAATTGGATAGTGAATAATTAGTTTGTTGGGTAGTTTTATTTTGTTTTCATGGTAAAGTTAAGGAAGAATGAACTATTTGGATGACATGGTTCATTATATTGTAGTAAATTATGCAGAAGTTGTAGTTTGAAATATTAATGTCACCTACTTAATAAAATTTTACTTGTTTGCATTTTGATGTGAAAATGGATATATTATCTCTGCGTGACATTTTGAACATAAAACATAAATAAATATACTGTTAAAGGAGGCGGCCTATGTTTGAACGGTTCTTAAGGGATGTGTTTATTGAACATGAATGGTGGAAAGGCACATGAAAAAGAGGTCCAATGTTGCATGGTTAGGTGGGCATGTGGACCCAATTGAAATAAATAACCGTTTGGTCTTAGCTAGAGATTTTTTTTTCCAAGAGAAGAAATTTGGTGCCTTCCTATATATTTACATTGAAAAGACCTTCCATGTTACATCAAAACTTGATAAATTTGAAAATGGGCAAATTGCACCAGACATCACTGAATTTTCACCGTACTTGCAACTAGGTTATTAAACTTCAATTTCATGCAATCAAGATTCTATACTTTAATTTACGAGCAAGTAATCGAGTCAGTCCGTTTAGATTCCGTCAATTAGACTGTTGATATGTAAATCCATTGTGACGGTGACCTTCCTATGACCTTCCATTCATGCTGTCGTCAAACCGTGGTATACACCATAATTCAGCAGTTGTAACTAAGTATATTACGAGATCAAGTGAGATTTTATTTGTTTTAAGTTTTCGAAGTAAGTTCACTTAGTTTTAGGTTTTAGCACCTTCACTGGTATCCGCACTACAAAATATCAACTCAACCATAACTAGCAAAGAATGTTATCTATAATATTTTATAGCATTTTTTGAAATGCTATTCTAGATGATGTTATTAAAAGTCGTACTTTTATAATAACTTTTTTGAATGCTATAAAAAACTTTTACATAGCATTTTATTATCGTCGTGTTTTTAGTATTTATAGCACTCTTTTTATGCAATATTTTTTTTAATTTGATAGCATTTTTTTGGTTATAATTTTGACTTTTATAACGCTCTTTAATCATTATGATTACATCTTCAATAGCATTCTTTTTCTATCATAATTTCTAATTATTTATAGCATTTATTGAATATAATGTATCAGTTTTAATATCATTTGTTATTGTAATATATACATATTAAATAGCATTCATACTTCCTTAATTGTCAAATATAAATATTTAATAGCATTATTTTTTACATTAAAAATGCGAAAAACCACCATGCCAATAATAAATTCCAAAACATGCATCGATATTGTCTTGTAGAAATACACAATTGCAGCTGTCCAATAAAAAATCTAATTATATTACGTCTCACATCAAATACTAATAACAATATATGCTTGAAAAGACAATAAACAAAATTAAATTAGAATAGTCTCATTCTAGTTTTCAAAAGAAAACTTCTTGAACTTTTGCAACTTGTTTGTAAAAGACATCCCTCAAACCAGTCATGTATTTAAATCTGAAAATTAACAAAGTGATACAACTTATTAGATTGTAAAAACAATCATGCTACATGTTCATCTTGTCTGACATCATTTTTTACATTGTACTACATGTCGGCACAGTTTTAAAAAACAACACACTTTCTCGCTCAATACTTTTTGAATTTTCACACAATGTTAACCAAGATTAACCCATGGAACATACATTTAGCATAATTCTTGTAAACATAATGTGAAGTAAAATTGAAAACTCTATTTATATGAAGTAAAAATGTATATAAGTTATATTTCAAGACTTACTAACATGTTTTTTCAATCATTGTAAAGAAGATCCATTTTATGCATTATAATAATGAGGAAATTGCACTAGATGTCAATTTTTGACTTTGCATTTACAAAAATGTCACTTTTTAAAAATCTTTTCAAGATTGTCAATTTTGGACATTTTTCCCCCTCTGCATAATTTAAATACCTTATATGTCTAACATTAATTGAGATTTGACTATATTTAAAATTTGTACAAAATGTCAGTAATATAGTACCATTTTTTTGGTGGCCCATTTTTATATTTTTGTTAACCTAAGCCTTTAGCCAAGCTGTTGAGTTACCCGTCCTCCAGTGCTCCATCCCAAGAAAATACAGAGAGAGATTGAGAGAAAACCTTGACTCCCGACTCCGTGAGGCCGTGTCGCCGTGAGGCTCACCGGTGACGTCCTCCAGTGCTCCATCCCAAGAAAATACAGAGAGAGATAGAGAGAAAACCTTGACTCCCGACTCCGTGAGGCCGTGTCGCCGTGAGGCTCACCGGTGAAGGTCCCGACTCCGCGTCATATTCCACTCAAATTTGAAGCAGCAGATGCCGAAGGTGGAGCTCACTCTGCTTTGGTTAATATAGCTAGAAGTGTTCCTGGTATGTTTTTTGAACGAATATTTTGTGGGATATTTTTCTTGGATGATTTTTTTCCCTGAAAATTGATGTGTTTATGTAAAGTTTCGGTGTTTTATATAGCTTTTTGTGAGAAACATGAAATACTAGGTCTTGAATTTTATTTTCTTGGGTATTTTTA